CTGATATTTTAGCAGCCTCTTCTTCTTTTTCGTCTTTTCCCAACTCGTCTTTCTCTCCAAATCTGCTTTTTCTATAGAGCAGAGAGACAGCAGAGAGGTAATCTGGGCATTTGCCATGTGCCTGGCCCATCTAATTTCTATCCCTGAGATTCCATATAGTCCCCTGAAGAGCCCAAGGATTGATCCTTAAGCACAGAGCCAGGAATAAGCACTGAGCACTGTAGAGTGTGGGCCCAAACTCAAACAAAAAACCTTTTTTCTGTTGCTTCTGTTTTTCATTAAGAGATATTTGAAATTAATATCTTGATTCGGCCTAAATAATAGTACAGTGGTTAGGGCACCGGTCTTGCACAGTTTACCCTGATTTGATTCTTGGCACCATATATGGCTCCTTGAGCACTGTGGGGAGTGATCCATGAGCACCGAGTCAGATGTAAGCCCCAAGTTCTTCTGAGTGTAGTACCATCCAAAATTATGTTGGCACCAAGCTGCCTTGCATAAGCCAGGTCCAGATTTGAACCCCAGCACCCCATATGATCTGCTTTCTAACAGCAATGATCCTTGAGCACAGAATCAGGAAGAAGCCCAGAGCACTACAGAGTGAATCCCAATTTCCAAATAAATAAATAAATAAATAATAGTATTATTATCTGTCCCCTTACCTAAGTTTGACTTTGGCTTGTGATATTTATAGTGAATATTTCTATAAGGGCGAAAACCTAATTATCATTGGATAATAAGTAAATGAATGTCACACTGAGTCATTTCATATTTAACATATTTTATGGGGATTTAGGTGGATATTTTAATGCTTTACCTTACCCAAAGACATTTATTCAGGTAAAATTTTAAAGACATTTTATAAATAATAAAACTTAAAAATTTCAACAAATTGGACAGTAATCAGAGACAGAATTGATGATTTGTGTTGTCAAAATACATTTGAAAACGTAGTGACTAAATAGTAGAAATTCATCAGAAAATTACTGATATATCATTAATTGTTTATAGTTAATGGATAATAGTTTTTGGAATAGTTCCATCAGAGTAAATGTGCCATCATGAGACTATAAGGGAAAGTCATATAATACCAAAATTTTGCAATTGTGCCTAAAAGTAGGTCATCAACGTTATTTCTAATAAGATTTAAGTTTTTAGTATTTGTGCTAGAGATGGAAGCAGTTCAACAACAAAGGATGGTCTTTTGTACCCTGATACGTATTGTTATGAAAATAATTTCTCAGGCATTTTGCCAATGGACAAACTAAATGACAGACAAAACTCAAAATCCCCTATATTGTCAGGTGTGTTCATTACTGTCTTTAAAATACAAGTCTAAGGGCTTTCTTTGAAATTTTAAGTGAACTTCAATAAGGAATTTATTTTCCGTTCACTTTTGCTTTTCTCTTTGAGCCTTTACAGGCCTGTCTGCCCAAACCACAGATAGATTGTCTTTTAACAATAGTAATCTTTGTCTCTCTGGAGAGGACATTCCACATTTTGATCAACAGAAGGTATTTGTTGTTACTCTTCTCTTTAGTAATTCATGGGATACTGAAACTAGAAGTGAAACAACTAAGGTATAATCAATAAGCAATCAAATCGAATAGAATATTTATATCTTTACTTGAAAAAATCTGGATGGAAAAGCAATATTAGATATTAAATGTATAAAGGATTTAGTAACAATTCAGTTTCTTGATTGTGAAATATTAATCAATTGCTTATTCACACACATACTTGACTTTGTAAATCAATATGATAGAAACTAAGTCAATATGGTAGAAATTAAGAACCACAAAATATGATAATAAGCTTTGTATTTTGTTATTTGTATGCAGTTTGGCTAAAATTCTAAATGTATTCTATTTTTAGGCATGCATAAAAACAATCTTACTTAAAAATGTGGCATCATCTCATATTACAGAGACTGGCAAACATCAAAAAGAACAACAACCAGTGCTGTTGTGGAAAGGGACTCATTCATTCTGGGAATGAGAAGTCATTTTATGCTTAATCTATCTTATGGTAATTTATTTCCATATACTTTACTGCTTTATCACACAAAGATATGTGTCTTATATATTTTTTCAAGTTTTTTTAAATGTTTTATCAAGTATCTGAGAGATAGACTGTTACAAATCCATCCATGACTGTGTTTCAGTCATAGAGTGATCCAACACACATCCTCCACCAGTGAACATTTTACACCGCGAGTATAATCCCCGCTCTGTGAAGTAGAATTTTGCACGAAGGAGACGGTGGTCCGATCCCGTTCAAAATTTTGGGACAACAGCGACATCAGTCAGGCAAAACCGTCGATTGAATATGATGTGGTCTATTTCGTTGTGAAATCGTCCACTGGGAGACTTCCATGTCCATCGTTTAGATTCTGCCTTCTGGAACTGTGAGTTACCATGGATGGTCTTGGTCGACATGATGAACTCAGACAGTCTCTCACCCTGTTCGTTCCATTCTAGGCTATGGGTCCCGATGTGAACTTCTTCAGCTGATCTCCTCGGTCCTATCTTGGCATTAAAATCACCCACAATGATCTTGTAGAAGGTGTGGTCTTCTTTATAGAACTTCTCCAGCTCCATGTAGAATTTCTCGATTTCTCTTTCATCATGATGAGATGTTGGTGCATAGACAATGAAGATAGAAACTGCAGGCAGTGAGCCACATCTATTCAAATGTAAACGTCCGATTCGGGTTGTTAGGCATTCAAATAAATCAATGCTCATGGCCAAGTTTGTGTTGACTAGGACACCGACGCCTCCAACACCTCTTTTATTGCATGTTCCGAGGAACAATTCTTCTCCAGTGTCGAAAACGGCATGGTGAGATTCGTGCCTTCTTGTCTTGGTCAGACCAATGATGTCGTACTTGATCATTCGCACTTGTACCATCAGGTCCTCAATGGATGCATCTGATGCTAGCGTACGTGCATTGAAAGTACAGATGATCATTTTTGTCTTCCTTCGTTGTGGCAGCCTAGTTCGGCCTTGAGATTTTATCGGCCTCTCCTTTCTCATCCTTCTCAGTGCTGCCATGTCGGTGAAGCCTTCAGGATCAGGTGAATGAGACCAGTTGTAGTTACTGGCTTTGGCATATCGAATACACAACAGATAGCTTGCCAGGCTCTTCCGAGCGGACGGAATACTCTTGGTAGCTTGCCAATCTTTCCGAGAGAGATAGAGGCTTTTGGGGCGACCTCTAATCACCCTTGTAGGTGTTATCATATTTGAACCCTATCAAATATGGTGCGACAATTCCGGAAGATGGGTATTTAGTGTCTTATGATGTGTTGCGCGGCCACTTCGTGGCTGCGTGGGTCCAGAAAGCGTCCTGGAGTGTGGCGACGGCTGGGTAGTGGAGGTAGTGTTGATAGTGTAAGTCTGCCAGTGGGGTATTTATCTGGGTAGGGTGGGTCTTCTGTGCGCAATTCGATCCTTGGGTGGTTGATGGAAGCAGACAGGGTAGGGTAGGGTGGGGCTCCTGATTAGAATCCCTTTGTCACCTGTGGTTGGTGGGAGCAAGCAGAGAAGCTCTGTCCCTGGGTCCGCCGAGCCTGGATGCACAAGTTTAAATCTTTAAGAAAGTTACAACTCAGATTTTTGATTGTTAACCCCGCCCACAGTGACTCTGCTAGGATCCTGGCCACACCTTCTATTAACTGCTGCATATAGTCAGTACACAGCACAGTCCCCACCCCTAAGCAGCTCAGAGATGAGACGCCAAAGAGAAAAAGACCCACAACGAAATTTGAAATCAAGAAGACAGTTAATGAAAGGTAAGGGCTCTAATAGCTTCATTTCAGTAACAAACTAATAGCAAATAAAGCTGGAAGTAAATCTTGAAAATATTTCTCAGAGCCTTTAAAGGCCTAACAAGTATTCTCAGTGCAAAGGTAAAGTGTTGAATAGACATTTGACTGTCTAGAACGAACAATTGGGTGTGGAGGGTGCAGGGAAGAAAACGGAATGAGGCTTATACACTTTTCATTTTGGAATCAAGGCTTGAAGAAGTGGGACTATACCATTCTAATATAAAATCTAAGAAAGAATTTTGCTCATGCATTGTAATTTGAAGACTTTAATTTGAAAAAAATATACTCTTGGAAATTTAAACTTCTTGAAAATGCAATGGTATTTTCTACAGTAGGATTACAATTTTCTCTAGTGGTTTGATTGATGTATTGCCTGTGCTTGTGGGTTCTTTTGAAAATAATTATATGATTTGCAACATTTCTCCTTTTTGTGTGTTGCCATTACTTCTTCTGCAGATTTCCCCTTACCTCCGGAGCAGCTGACTGCTGAGGTCCTGGGAATTACCTGCTTGGTCTTGCTGTCTACCCTCGTGAAAACCATAATCCTTTTTTCCTGTAAGAATATGTTTAAGAGGTCTGGGATATGGACCAATGGGCAGGAGGCAGGAGTAGTTCCTGACCATAATCACGTTGCTGCTCAAACAAAAATTAAAAAACACAATAGAAAATTTCAAGGAAAATGTTCAATTTAATAATGATCAATGCCTATATACATTTATAATATCATAAAAATAACTTATTTTATTTGTTAATTTAAACATACTGATTATTCTAAATATAGTAAAAATATAAATATAAAAATGCACCTTCATTAAATTATTGTAAAATTCTGATCACATAAATATTTCATTGCAATTTATATGAAAATTATAGTAATAGAGTAACTGCAGAGATATTATTTAGTAACTTATTTCATAAATAAAATAGATGAAATAAATGAATTAAATGTCTCATTGAGAAACGCTTTTTTATTTTGAGATATTTTAAACAAAATACTTATGAAATATTATAAATAGTCACATTCTCTGCCTTTACTTATGAAATAGTCTGCCAAGTCTTCAATATTATTTCATGGTTAAATAAATTTTATTATAGATTATTTTAACCTAAAACAATGTAATTGATCTCAAATTAAATAATTATACTTTTCATTATTATTCGATAATATGATTGAGGCACCAGGATCCACGAGCACCAGCTGCCCTTATACCAAAAATTATGCTTCCAAAATCTCTTGAAGTAGATTCCGCATGTAGAGCAAGTGGGCTGCCCTATGTGTGCCACTCACAGTAGAAGATCTTTTCCAAAATAAATTTTTATAGAATTACTTTTCATTTTTCTAGATGCTGAAATTGAAAGACCAGAGTTGAATAATGCATCTCTAGTGACCAGGACTCAGGAAGGTATATAAATACTCTCTGTAATTCTAATAATAAAACAATTTATGTTCTTTTCTATATTTTATGCTATATTAAAATGAGATTATAGTAGAATTTTTGAGAAATAAGAAATTATAAAATCAGGTGGTGAATGCTCACAGTCATTTTGTAAGACATAACTTCTTATTCAGCATTGTGTAAAGATAGGTATTCAGACCCACCATCTCTGTATCACTGCCATCTTTTTTTTTTTTGATATTCTTTTTTTTTTTTTATTAGTGAAGCACCATGAGGTACAGTTGTAGATTTACAAATCTTTGTGCCTGAGTTTCGGTCATACAATGATCAAATACCCATCCCTCCACCAGTGCCCATTTCCCCCCACCCCCCCTCCTACCCTGCCTCTGTGGCAGGGCATTCCCCTTTGTTCTCTCTCTCCTTTTGGGTGTTGTGGTCTGCAAAAGAGGCATTGAGTACTGCCATCTTTTTGTTCGTCGATTTGAGCAGACTCCAGTATCGCCTCTATCCGTCCCAACCCTGAGATTTTAGTAGCCTCTCATTACTTTTCCAATAATTGGAGGCTCTTTCAGGGTCAGGGGTATGAGACCTGTTATAGTTATGGCTTTGGCATATTGAATACATTTTATAGAATTACTTTCCTTGGGGAGCTTGCTAGGCTCTGCCCGTGCAGTTGGGATACTCTCAGTAGCTGGCTGGGCTCTCCGGGAGAATATATATATATATATATATATATATATATATATATATATATATATATTCCTCTCTATGACTTGTTGCCTACTGTCTGAATTCCATCAAACATGATGTGTTAATTATGGAAAATGGATAGGAAGTGTCTTATGATGTGTTGCACGGCTGCTTTGTGGCCCTGCGGTCCGAAAAGTGGCCTGGAATATGGTGGCGGTTGGTTTTTCTAACTGGCTAAAACTTTCCACAGTTCTGTTATTGACATAATATACACTGGAATATAATAGAAATAAGATTAGTCTCTAAAAGTGGGTTTTATTCGTTGTCATTCCAAAGGTGTGCAGTAGATACTTTTGTTCATTTCTTAGCATTAAATTAGTTTTCATGGTAAAATTTTATCTTTTCTAATCCCTAAATAATCCACCAAATTTGAAATTAAAACCGTTATGACAGTTACTGAAAAATTAAAACAAAATAATCTACCTTAAAGTAAAAGGAGTCTCTTGACCTTAGTTTTATTCCTGGGATCTTATATAATACTCCGAGCACTACCAGGAATGATTACTGAGCACAAAGCCAGATGTTAGCCTGGGCCACAGCTGGGTATATGCCTAAAAGCAAACAAACAAACAAAAAACAAAAAGCACAAAATAAATAAGGAGTAACGTTACCTGAGAACAAGTACAGTGCCTAAGATATAACTTGCAGCTGCAGGCTCTCCTTCAATCCTAGCACCACAGCATGTCTGTGTACATCCCTAGAAGCTCCGCTAATTCATGGAACTCCAGTGCTGGAGCAGTACCATATCCCTGGACCCCTGCTACAAACCTAGTTTGTTAAGAACTGACAGGAGGGCCATGGGCCTTCTGAGCGTGCAGTAGAGGCTTCTTGAGCAATTCCCTCAAAACATAAATAAAATTTTTTAAAAGGGCGTCATAAAGACATCTAGGTATTTTTGAGTATTTTGATTAGTATTTTGTCTCTATCCTATACTAAGAAACTCTGTTCTTTGATCTTGTGAAGGAACACACTGTAGCACTGATCTCCTGTTGTTCATCGATTTGCTCAAGAGGACACCTGTGAAGTCTCCATTGTGAGACTTGTTGATACTGCTTTTGGCATATGGAATATGCCCCACAGGGATCTTGCCAGGCTCTTTGTGAAGGATAATGAATCACAAAATTGGATAACACATATGCAATGATTATCAGGGAGTCATGTTTTACACAAAAATGAGGAAGATTCACCTCATATAACACAAAATGAGGAAGATTCACCTCATATTACTATACTCACTGTTATCAATTCACCCAAATTCTTTTGCCTTATTTTAATGAGAGATTTTTTTTTTCTATTCTAAAATTGTTCGTTTGTTCATTGTCTTCCAGGACATGCAGAGAGTATTTTTTTCATAAGGGCACACAATGAGAAAATAAGAGCAGAAGCTTCTCTCTCCCAGTATATGGATTTATTACTTTATGTTCTATGTCTGTGAAGGACACAGTTATGCCATTAACATATATATTTATATGTATACACGTTAAAATTAATTTTTAAATAGTTTTTTTAAATAATAACTCATGACCTTCCCCCAAATGCTTAGGGGATCATATGATTCTCATATGTATGCATATATATGTATGCTTATGCATGTATGTAATATTATTTTAGTTAAAGATCATATAGTTTCTTGATTATGACTTAATTTTTCTTTAGCATATCATTGTAATCAGTGTCCAAAGGAGTGGTTCATATATTCCAACAGCTGCTATTATATCAGTAATGAAAAGAAAACATGGAAGGAAAGTGTGATGTCCTGTATGTCTAAGAAATCTAAGCTTCTTTATATAGATAATCCTGAAGAAATGGTAAGATTTGAAAGCTGTATCTAAATAGATGTTTCAATAGACATTATGTTTAAAGAGCTCATCAATGTTTTATACATTATAGATTTTTATGTTTAATATTACATTTTAACTCTAGGTAAAATTTTTCAACGATAACAATTTTTCAGCTATCGTGATTATATTTTTATGCCAGGAATGCTTGCACATTTGTTACTTTTTGCTTTACTGGCTTTTATAGAAAACAGTGCTTTGTTTATGGAGGTCTCCAGAGCAGAGTTTAGGGGTCACAGAGCTGTTCCTCGCAGCAATTGACTGTATCTGGTGCAAAAAATCCAGCTAAGGATGGTGCTCCACCCCTTCCAGCAATCTCTGCGGCTTCATCAGTGCCTTCTTACTACAAAATAAGTCTTCTTTATCTTATCAAGAAAATTATACATTGCATTACAAATATTTATCAAGTGAAAAGAAGCAGGTCCTTGCAAGTAAGATCATCAAATAAAGTCTTTCAATCATGGTGTATTCCTTTTGCTCTCTCTATTTGCTGAATCCGTACTCTGAATTTTAATCTATTATAAATTATATTTTCTTAAAACTTGAGCTTCACATACAAGAGATTAGTATGTTTGAATTTTTACTCTCATATATGTTCTTCCTTTTTAATTTTGTGTTTATAGTTTTTACATTTTTCACTGTTCTAGTTGATGACTTAATATTTTAAATATACTTATCATATTTAGTTAGTTTTAAAGATATGCATTTTATAAATATTTTATTGAATTCTTAAACATCCAGTATATTTATAAAATGTCTTATGGTTATTGTATTCTAGTTATGTTAATTTTAATAATGAAAATATTGCAAATAAAAAATTAGGACATAACCATGTATGTTGGCTGCGTGCAAGGCAAACGCCCTACCGCTGTGCTATCACTCCAGCCCGGCAAGCTACCGAGAGTATCTCGCCCGCCCGGCAGAGCCTGGCAAGCTACCCGTGACATACTCGATATGCCAAATACAGTAACAACAAGTCTCACGATAGAGACGTTACTGGGCCCTCTCGAGCAAATCGATGAACAACAAATCGGGAGAACCGTGATAACTGTGATAAACATGTATAATATATGATAAATTGATATGTGTGTATAATTTTGTTATATTATTCAGACATTTTCTAATATTGTGAAAACACATTTTACATAATAGTCTTTTGATCTAAAACTTATAACCATTAGTAATTTAAATATTATAAACTCTGATGACTGTATACAAGAATTTTTGTGATATTATATTTTGTTTGTTTGGGGGTCACATCCTTATTTTTTCTGGTATACTGCGGCTTCTAGACTCAGCAATTACTCTGGGGACCAAATGGGATGCCCCAAATCAAACCCGGGTCAGCTACATACATGCAAGGCTTGAACCCTACAAAGTTGTACCATCTCTGGCCCCAGAATTATTATGATATTAATAAGCATTTTCCTGTTTGGTAATGATTTGGTATGGATTGAACACGTTTTTCTGGTCTATAGTATCACAATATATTGTTATGCTAAATGCCTGTATCTTTTGTCCATTTTTCGTATCAGGGATCTTTATTTTCCTTACCAGATGTTTTGTCATATTTAAGTTTTGAACTCTGTTTTGTTTTATGAGATTCAAATATATTATTTTGACTCAGTGGCTTAAAATTTTAATTTCTATTGGTGTTTTTTAATAACTATCAATTGATAATTATTTAATTACATTAAGTATAGTAGGGCTGGAGCAATAGCACAGCAGTTAAGGCGTTTGCCTTGCACGGGGTCAACATGAACTACCATGTGCATTGCTATGCCATTTGCTAAATATTTGGCCTAGTTGATTGTTTTCTGTTCAAAATCTTCCACATCATATTAAATAAAAATAATAAAATATTATTAGACAAAATATAACACTGTTTATAACTGAATAGATGTCTAAGTGTATAAGCTCTACTAGGGTGTCCAGGGAGATGCTGGCGGCTCTCCACCTCGCTGCCCATGTTTGGGGATAGGCCTGGGCCCCTAACCAAGTCGAGGCACCCCGGGCTATGAGGCAGATGGAGGAGGAAAGGAGTGCCAAGCCATTTGATTGATCAATTGCTGTTTATTCCATCCTCCCCACGTGCCTGCCCCAGTCTCTCTGAGCCCCCCCCCCCCCCCCCCCGCCATTCTAGTCTCACATTGCCTCTCACTCCCATCTCCTCCCGTCTCTCTGGCTCATCTCTCCATGCTTTATCTTGCTATCTCTCCACGTGTCTGCTCCTGTATTCTTCTAATCCTTCTCCCTCTGTCCCCCTTGCTAGTCCCTCTGCACTCCTTCTTGCTGCCCTGCTTTCTCTCATCTCTCCAGCTCTATTGTTGCTCCAATTCCCCAGCACTCTAGGCTGACACTGTACCAGTCTGGTAGCCAAATCAACATAAGAAAGCCCTTCCTGACTGCCAGGTTGAAAGGTGGGAAATATCACTTAGGGGTATTCCAAAGCCCTTCCTGACTGCCCAGGGGTAAAATACATCTAAAGGTGTTTTTCTCCTTTCCTCAGTCCAGTGACTGAATCAACAACTTAAAACTAGTTATTTTTGTATGGACACAGTAAGAGATAACATTGAAGCTTATAGGGCAGCTCTCCTGGGAACTTGACACAGACTAAGACTACAGAGCTCAGGCCAGATTAATCATTCCTAATCCAGCAGGGTCTGAATCTAGTTACTACTTTTTCAATCATGACAACATTTGTCCATGACCAAGCTCTTAACAGTTAAGCATTAGGCACTTTGGCCAACTCATCTCAATGCCAGGGTAGCACATAGCTAACCACTTGCTCTAGTTCCATCCAGTCCCTCATCAGGACCCTGCTTTTGGGAGTGCTAGGCATAAGGGCAATTGAGGCTTAGGTCAAGAGAGCAGATGCCCAGGAGGAAAATATCACTGAGAGTCAATAAACTCCCACAGTACAAAAGCATAGCATATATTATCTTCTTGCGTTCATACAAAATGGATATTGCTCTGAATAAACTATGCAAGGAATTTAGGGAGAAGAGAAAAACAATATTTACAAGTCAACAGAGTACAAAGAAAGAAGTTACAAATAAACACAGAGGAATGGAGAACTGTGTTGGGGGCAACCCAATAAACCTAAGGGACCTAAGGATATGCAGGAAGGATAAAACAATGCTATCCTACAGCTAAGGTTTTGTTTCCATGAGGAAATATGATCCAATGAGTTGTTTATTCAATCTTGTAACTTTATAAGTAAATTAGGTATGAGGCCATTCGATTCAGGCTAGGTGGGATGTATCTCAATCTGTTTTTCATTCTTTAAATAACCTCATTGTTCTTCTCAAGATTATTTTTAGCAGTTGTCTTCAATTGTCATTTAGTCTTTTGATTGTGTTTTGAGATATGAGTTTCAGTGTATTGGTTTTAATAGCTCTTGGGTTTACAATATTTATGAACTAAGTTAAAAAAGGTGTTTCTCCATTGTATCTAGCAGTTATTTTTCTGCACCTTTCTGTATTCTTTTCTGATTGTATTTAAACCTAAAATGGTTTTGCACATACTTTTAGAGGGTCCAACACATTTTTCTCTTTTCTCTCATATTCTGCCAAAATTTCTACAGTTCATCTTCAATTTTCTCAATTATTTTCTTTTGCACTTCAAATTTTTAAAGTTAATGTACTGTTACTTTTGTTTCAAATAGTATAGTTTAATTCAGATTTTCCATTGGTTCATTTGTTGAGCTTAATATTAATATTTCCTGTTCATTTCTTCAGTGCCATCATGTTATATTTTTATTATCTGAATAAAAGAATTATTATCACTGCACCCATTTATACTAACTGCTAATATTCAATATTATAAGATGCAAATAACTTAATTTTGTTATTACCAAAATTCAAATTAGCATTAAATATTTTTTTGAGTTTTCACGAATTTTTTATAGAATTTTTTGAGCGTCTTTATTGACCTGCTATGGATTGGACTAGAAACTGATAACTTACGGGCATGGCCAGATGATTCATCTTTGTCTTCTAAAAGGTAAGCCTTTTGAGCATCCTTGCATTTTGTGCCTATTAAAGAGTAATCATAGAGAAAAATATATGCAAAATCATATGAATTCAATAAGTTGCTTTGAAAAAATTTTACAGAAAATATTCAAATTTAAATATAGCATTCCAAAGAGTTCATTTAGCAAATATTAATTTATTTCTTTCCAATATTAATTATATATTATTCCCTTTGTTTCAGGTTCTCAGTGCCTCAAAAGATGAATGGAAATTGTATCCAAGTAGATGTTGATAACAAAATATATGCTCCTATATCCTGTTTAGAAAATAGAACATATGTTTGTAAGCACCAAATACTTTAACCTAAACAAACTTATTCTGTTGCTATTATTAACATTTATACAGTATACATATCTTATTTCTTCAAAAGAAATACAACTGTTTTTAGAACTATCTTAAAATGTTTATGTTTAATCCAAATGAAGAAATGTAGAGGGAGTTCTCAGCCCTCCCAACCCCATATTGGCAAACTCTCACGCACGAGTCATGTCACTAACCAAAGACAACGAAGCTATATCAATAAATCTTTCCAAGCTGAAGTCTTTTATTTATCTGAGGGTTCACCTTTTGAGTTGTAGAATGAATTGAAATCAGTCATTCACGTGAATCATCAGCAAATATAGTGATATACATATTTATTTTTTTAGTTTAATAGATTATATAGGAATTATATATCACCATGGCAAGAGCTGTTATATTTGATTTGTCTACAATAATATGTATTCTTAGATTTTTCAATTGACTGATTTGTTCTAGCCCTTGAAAATTTTGAAATGGATTAAATAGCCAAGAGTTTAATGTGTGTGTGTGTGTGTGTGTGTGTGTGTGTGTGTGTGTGTGTATGGACTCAGGCGAGAGAAAGCTGGGGAGATCTTCATTGTTTACTAAGTGGGGTTAAAAGAAGACAAAGAATAAAAGGATATCCCAGATTAACAGAAAGTGCCCAAAGGGGTCTCTGATAGGACTAACTCCCCTAAGGCTGTGTTTTAAATTTACCGAAGATTGGGTTTTTTATAGTCTCTGAGTTTTGGCCGCTGATGGGATTACACGGATTACTATGAAAACCAGCTCCTGGAAGAGAACAGTGCAGTCTCCTGCCCCCGCGCCTGGCTATCCTCCCCAGGGCCCGTTGGAGGGGAGCGGGTTGAGCTTTCCTCCCCGCCTCGACCAGGGCTTCAGCAGCCGAAGACCTCCAGGACCAGCCACCACCATGCTGAGACCACTCTCCGCACACATGAAGGTACAGGCAGAGGGACAAAGCCACGTGGGTTCCGGGGCCAAGATCTCCAAGCTTACTCGGATTGGGGCCCAGCATCCTCCACCCAGATCCTCCAAATTCCAGTAGGCGGGGGTCACACCCACCAACTGGCCCCCTGGTGCCGTGTAATCCCATCAGCAGCCAAGACTCAGAGACTATAAAACCCAGCTTCTGGAACCGCAAATGCGGCTGCATGACATCTTATTATGACATCTTATTTTCTCATTCCTACTTTGGAGAAACTGGCAGGTTACCGATTGTAGCCTTCCCACACGGCAGAGTCTGGCAAACTCCCCGTGGCGTACCCAATATGCCAAATACCAGTAAGAATGATGAGTCTCATTCTCCTAAAGAGCCTTCAATATAATCTCAGGGCTAGGATGAAGGAGACGTTACTGGGGCCTGCTCGAGGCAATCGACGAATAACAGGATGATTTTTGATTGATTTGATTTTGAAGATTGGGTGGTCACAGGTAGCTTTGGGGCAGAGGTGTGCCTTTATGACCCAGGGAAACAGCACTTCTACAGGGGCAAACTGAAAGTAGTGAGATCCATCTCAGGGATGGGCAGAGTCTGTAGTGCAGAGGACAGATACTGGCCACAATCATTTTCTTGAGGGTGAATTTCATAGAATTTCCTGTGTTAAAGCAGGTGATAAACTACACCTTAATATAGCCAAATAAGAAAGAATATAAAAAAACCAAGAAGAACCCTTTCTCTGCTCTGCCTTTCTAGTGGTTTTTATTGGCAAAAATCAAACACGATGTAAATCAATTTATTGCAAAAGAAACCAATATTTCACAAGATGTGTACTGCTTTCAATAAACACATGATATTATCTTGTGTTATCAGTAATTATCTTGCTTAGTCCTTATACCATGCAAAAATGGATAAATATTGAATATGGATGTTGATATGAGTTCACATATGAATATTGCATTATCAAAAATAATTATACCTGATAAATGTGGTTTTATGTCTGATTGAAGTTATTTTCCACTGAAAAGTATGGATTTGAGCTTCCTGTTCCTCCATTTTAAATTTTTCTAGATATTTCATATTCACCCTTAGTGTTGTAGCATTCATTTAAAATAATCATGCATGTAAGTCATCAAATTATGTAGTCATTTATATTTATACATTCTTTAATAGTTCATATTTTATTAAATTATTTATAAATTAAGAAATAATATAATAGATTATTAGTCCCCAATAATGCACATATTTTTATTTTCTGGTTAATTGATTTGTTCAACCCTTGAAGGTATTGGAAACCAGGATTCATCCACCCAAAGTAGCATGATGCACAAATTAGATTTGAATCAATGAACAGATGTCAGAATATGATAAAAATAATTCTTTATTCTCATACTTAAAAGTTTGACATTATTTACAATAACCAAGAATCCCAAGTTCGATTCCTCCGCCCCTCTCGGAGAGCCCGGCAAGCTGCCGAGAGTATTCAATATGCCAGACACAGTAACAACAAAGTCTCCAATGGAGACGTTACTGGGCCCGCTCGAGCAAATCGGCGATCAACGGGAGGGCCTTTACCTTTTACCTTAACCAAGAATTGGAAGCAATAATCCAAGTACCATCGACAATGAATGGATGAGCAAAATGTGCATATGATTGCAGTGGAATCTTGTTCTATCGAGAAAATTTTCTAATTCATGTCAAAATTCTGGTGAACATTGAAGATGTATAATATGGGTGAAATAAGCCTGACACAAAAGGACAAATAATTGTATTCCACTTACCCAAGGCATCTAGAATAACCAGACTGACAGAGAAAGTGGATTTTAAATTACAAGAGGGTTGGGAGAAGTAATTGAGAATTATCAGTTCAGTAGTTACTGAGTTTGATTTAGGTAGAAAAAAATATTTTGAAAATGAATAATCGAGATACCTGTACAATATTGTGGATTCAATTTATGACGCTGGATGTCATAAATTACATTTAAAAATGATCCAAATAAAAATGTATTTTACATAATATTTTTTACTGTGTCTGGCATATCGAATACTCTCTGTAGCTTGCCGGGCTCTCCGAGAGGGGTGGAGGAATCGAACTTGGGTCGGCCATGTTGGCTGCAAGCAAGGCAGATGCCCTACCCGCTGTGCTATCGCTCCAGCCTTGGAGCGATAGCACAGAGGGTAGGGCGTTCGCCTTACAAGCGGCCAACATGGCCGACCCGAGTTCGATTCCTCCACCCCTCTTGGAGAGCCCAGCAAGCTACTGAGAGTATTTGATATGCCAGACACAGTAACAACAAAGTCTCCAATGGAGACATTACTGGGCCTGCTCGAGCAAATCGACGATCAACGGGAGGGCCTTTACCTTTACCTTTTACATAATATTTAAAAAATTTGGCTGGAGCGATAGCACAGCGGTAGGGCATTTGCCTTGTGTACGGCAAGTCGGCTAAGCCAGGTTTGATTCCTCCGTGATTCCTCCACCCCTCTCCGAGAGCCCGACAAGCTACCGATAGTATCTCGCCCGCATGGCAAAGCCTGGCAAGCTACCCGTGATGTATTCAATATGCCAAATACAGTAACAAGGAGTCTCACAATGGAGATGTTACTGGCCCGCTCGAGCAAGTCAATGAAAAACGGGAGAACAGTGGAGTGCAGTGCTATTTTAAAAATCAATGCAATGTCCCCAAATCTTTAAATAACATTTAAATAAATACACTGGAATGTTTATGAGTTATATCAGTACACTTTTAAAATACCTTTGATTGTTGAATCCGAGTTGAAAAGAAAGAATTGCGTCTCTATGCTTTAAGTACCTTGTACAATGTATCTTGATGTATGAGAGATTTTTCAACTATTTGTTAAGAATAACTTTGGAAGCATAGATTAAATAAAATAACAAAGAATAGTTAGTGCTTAAGGAGAATATACAATGGAGGAGTTACTTGAAGTAAATCTCTGCCACCTTTAATAATTTTAATCTAACCTCATTTAGCATCAAACTAAATTGTTCCCTGTGTTTATATCATGTTGGACTCAGTGCGGGAAAATGTGAAAAAACTAAAACCACAAAAATGACTGTAAAGAAAATAAACAGTGAGCATAGGAGTGCAAATATCTTTTCTGAATAAAGTGTTTGGGCCCTGGGGTAGATGCCAAGAAGTGGAATTTCTGGGTCAGATTTATAGTTTTCTGAGAATTTCTGTCTATACTGTTTTCCAAACAGACAAGGGCCAGCAGGTATTCTCACCTGCAATGACTGAGTATCTGTTTTTCCTCACATCAATGCCAACACTGTTTGTCTTTATTTTTTTGTGTGTGTGTTGTGTGCTTATTCCACTTGGTGTGAGAAGATATATCATTGTTTTGATTTGAATTTACCTGATGATAAGTAATACTGATTTTTTTCCATCTGCCTTTGGACCTCTTTCCTTTGAGGAAGTTTCTGCTTTAATCTTCCCCAGTATTTTGATGGGGTTGTTTGTTTGGAAAGTTCTACCAGTACTTTTATATATCTTGCAAATTAATCCTTTACTAGGTAAACTTTTATTATAAAGACAAACCAGCCAAATATGGTAGAGGATGAATCAGTGAATTGTACAAAAGATAGCTGTTTGATATTTCAATTTTTGGCATAATGATATAGATTTATATGTAAGTTTTATTCTCCCTAAAACTTTTCCAACTAACTGATATCTTAAAAACTCATTTGCAAATAATATATTAGATGCAAAACATTTAGGAACTAGTTCAGAAAAACTGAGAAAAAATTAGAAATAAACTAAAGTCAACAAACAAAAACAGTAACACAGAAATCTCAGATAACATTGACAGCTTTGTAAATCTTTAAAGACTTAATAGTCCAACGGTGAGATTTTACAATTTTCACAAATTTTATTTTACTGAAGATCTTTTGGTAATTCCTTATATCCACATAATTGAAATAGTAATATAGACCAGATAATTTTGTGCATGGTAATAGGGCAAATTTGGAGGGTGGTTTGGAAAACGGGGACAGTGGTGGAGGGAAGGTGGTGGGATTGGTTTTGAACATCAAAATCTGTTAAGAACTGTATTCTGAACAAGTTTGTAAGCCATGGTATTTAAATAAAGTAAAAAATAAAGAGCCATTGATAATTGTGCCAGTTAAAATAAAGTTTAAAATCTATTCTTTAAGATAATTGGTGACATTTATCATTAAGTTCTTGATAGTATTATTACTTTAGAATTCTTTCATTATAATGGAAATAACACAATACTGGCAAACAAAAGAAGCTTGTGCTGGCAGCTGGAGTGATAGTACAGTATGTAGGACATTTTCCTTGCTCATGGCTAACATGGTTTCTATTTCTGGCACCCCGTATGGTCCCCCGAGCCTAACAAGAGTGATCCCTGAGTTTAGAGCCAGGAGTAAGCCTTGAACTCCAGGTATGACTCCCAAACCAAAAATAAATGAATGAAAAAAAAAGTGTTGCCACCATTTAGAAATATTTTTTCCCCATTTAGAAATCTTGTCTAAATCTAGAATTAAAAACTTTAAGAAGATACCACAGCGGGTATGGCGTTTGCTTGCACAACCTGGATTTGATTCCTCCATCCTTACTCAGAGAGTCTGGCAAGCTACAAAGAGTATCCCGCCCGCACGGCAGAGTCTGGCAAGCTTCCCGTGGCATATATCCAGTATGCCAAAAATAGTAACAAGTCTCACAATGAAGACATTACTAGTGCCCGCTCGAGCAAATTGATGAACAATGGGAGGATAGTGCTACAGTGCTACAGTAATATATTAAATAGTATTTTAAGTAGTAATTTAAGTAGTAACATTTTTTTTCTGCTTTGATTAGATTCATTGTTTCAATAAAAGATTCACCACTATTATTTAGAGTTTACCCCCCCCCCAAATCAGACATACTGAAAAAGCATTGTGAAGTGATTTGCTTTCTACAGCTGGGTTTAAGAATTAAATGTTGGTTTTGGATTTCTGCTATTTTACCTATTGACCCTGGAAGTATTTCTACTGAAAGTCAGATAGTTAAGAAATTGGTTTCTGTGTTCTGGAGTCATGGCCGTGCTGGAGAGCCACTTGTGGGGGGCAACTGGTGGCCTCGGTAGGGCGTGAAGGGCGGACCGAAACGCCCCCCTTCCCATGAGGTTTTAGTCGCCCCCACACCCCCAGCTCATACCTGCTGTCCACAAGGCTCCCATGCGGCCGCCATCCTTCTTTCCAGAGAAGAGAGGGCAAATGGGGCAACACCCTTTCCCCTCCGGAAGACTTGATGGCCTGGATTAACGCATAGTCCGTTCACTTTTCTGCTCCAAGCTGCTGGGTTCTGCATTAAGTCCTTGTGCTTCTGGGGCTGTGGCCGTGCTGGAGAGCAGCTCGTGGGGGCAACTGGTGGCCACGGTAGGGCGTGAAGGACGGACCGGAAGGCCCACCTTCCCATGAGGTTTTAGTCTCCCTCACACCCCCGGCTCAAACTTGCTGTCCACAAGGCTCCCATGCGGCCGCCATCTTTCTTTCCAGAGAGGAGAGGGCGAATGGGGCAACACCCTTTCCCCTCCGGACAGACATGATGGCCTGGATTAACGCATAGTCCTTTCACTTTTCTGCTCCAACCTGCCGGGTTCTGCATTAAGACCTTGTGCTTCTGGAGCTGTGGCCGTGCTGGGGAGCCGCTCGTGGGGGGCAACTGTTGACCTCGGTAGGGCGTGAAGGACGGACCGGAACGCCCCCCTTCCCATGAGGTTTTAGTCGCCCCCACACCCCCGGCTCATACCTGCTGAGGCTCCCATGCGGTCGCCATCCTTCTTTCCAGAGAAGAGAGGGCGAATGGTGCAACATCCTTTCCCCTCCGGCAGACGTGATGGCCTGGATTAACGCATAGTCCATTCACTTTTCTGCTCCAAGCTGCTGGGTTCTGCATTAAATCCTTGTGTTTCTGGGGCTGTGGCCGTGCTCCAAACTTAACTTTGATTTTCAGGGAGAAAGATTGGGTGGTTTACTTCCCATTGATCACTTTGTATATAGAGAGATGTCGCACGGCCGCATAAGCGACCGCGCGGTTTTGAGAAAAAGTCCTAGTTCCCGCATTTTCTGGTCACCGGGGTTCCATCTGGGGGAGGCAGGATGCGGCACCTACCCCATCTGGGACTTGCCGGTGATCTCGGCTCTTTTTGGAACCTGTTTTTTTTTTTCTCCGGGATTTGTGGTTCCCGCGCCCTCCATGTGGTCCTTCTCTTAGGCTGTATGTTTTAAAGATGGCACTGGGGGGCGGGCTGTGGGCGTGACTTCCGGAATCAGAGGTTACCTGGGAGCTGTAGTCCGGCAGATTTGAGAAAAAGTCCTAGTTCCCGCATACTCGAGCTGTGCTTGTAAAGGCTTCTGGTCACCGGGGTTCCATCTGGGGGAGGCGGGATGCGGCACCTACCCCATCTGGGACTTGCCAGTGATCTCGGCTCTTTTTGGAACCTGTTTTTTTTTTTTTTCCTCCGGGATCTGTGGTTCCCGCGCCCTCCATGTGGTCCTTCTCTTAGGCTGTATAAGTAGTAACATTTTAAGAAATAATATTTAAAGCAAAAAACTTTAAGAAGCTAAGTAGAGAAGGATCCAGTATGGCAATAATAGTTGGAAATGATTACAGTGGACAAGAACTGAGTGTTGAAAGTAGCTAAGGCGTATTCCTGATAGTCTTTCAGTATCTTTATTGAAAACTACAATGCCCAAAAGGGGAAAGAGAAAGAGAGAGAGAGAGAGAGAGAGAGAGAGAGAGAAAGAGAGAGAGAGAGAGAAAGAGAGAGAGAGGGAGAGGAAGTACCTGCCATAGAGGCAGTCCAGGGGAGGGAGGTGGGAGGTGATGGGGAGGTAAACTGGGGACATTGGTCCTGGTTAATGTACACTGGTGGAGAGATGGGTGTTGGAACTGTATAACTGAAACCTAATAATGAACAGCTTTGTAAGGGACTATTTTAGTGATTCAATAATTTTTTTTTAAAAAAAGCTAGAAGTACGGTTCAAGTACACAGTGTTTGTGACTTCCATCTCGTTTTTCTTTAAGATACAAAAACATTTTCCTAGAAGCGTTTGCCCATGGACAGATTGACAGTCTCTTGCATGTTGCATCTTTGTCTTTAAGTGAATTCTTCTCAAAATTCTGTAAGTATAATAATTTCCTGTTGATATAATATCAACATTTTCCACTCTTACGTCTTGTTTTGAAACTTCACAGAGCAGTCAGTGAAGACCACAGTTACTGTTTGCCTGTTTGCAAGACTACTGGTTTTCTCATTGGAGGATGTGCAAGCATGGATTCAACAGAAGGTATGTGTAGCTCTTTTCGTCTCGTAGTATTCCATCTCATTTTGTGTAGTTTACAAATACTTGGTATAATACAACATTTGTGCTCAGATACATAAATTGTTAATGTCTTAATTTGAATAATTCAACTAGAAAACAAACTAAAGATATAAAATTTGTCTTTGAATTTCATAAATGTCTGATTCTTCATGTGGAAAATTAGCTAAATATAAACAGAATAATTGTGTCTGTAAATCAATAAAATTTAAAAATTATTTAAAACAGTCTATTATTATTTGATTCTTTATAAAATCCAGTTGGATGTTGTGTTTTATATTCATTTTATCCTAAATGTCTTTATTTACACATTGGTAAACCAAATTGTTGGATATTACTTTTAAAATGTCAACTTTACAAAGTCAGAATTAAATTCAGATTTCAATCAATACAGAGGTCCTTGATTATCTTATTAAATAAATTATCTGATTTATTACAGTAGTTTATACAACAAAATATACCCTCACTGGTTTTAGCAGCAATAGAAAATTTCTGGAAATTTGAAGCAAATAGTATTGTTTCATAAATGATCTTTGTCTGTCATTTGAGGTTTCTAATCTTAACTGTTAAATCATATATCAGTCTTTTCCGAGGGTAGTGTTTAACTTTTATTTTATCACATGGTTTTTGTTTGGGTTAACTTTAGCTTTCTATATAAATGTATTAATACAAAAATATTTCTTTAAAGTTTAAAATATTTATCAAAACTCCACAGATATTCAAAATAAAGTATTATTTGAATGTAAGTGATGAAAGAAAACTATTTTAATACAGGATCCAGCTAACACTATACTCTCCAAATTTTAATCTTTAATCTGAAAGTATTCAGAGACCTATTATTTGTTCTAAAAACTAGTGTACTCTTTTTCTATAGAATTAGATGTTAGGTTGAGAATATTATTATTCACAGATTTCAATAAACTATTGTATTTATGGAATAAGCTATAGTATATATAGAATCATTTATTCAAGTCAAGAATACTACTGCTATGTTTTTGCTTTATATTCCCCCAATAATAGTTCAAGAAATAGAATTTCATTCTAAGATCTATTCTATTATGAAACAACTTTAACACGTACCATCTATAAAACTCTAAAGAAATTAGACTCAGACTTTTACAATGTGTAATATTTTACATTATTTGAAAATTGAATATCACTATTCAAATGATACGCCACTCTCATTAACTAGGCTGAGGATCTGCCCTCTAAGACACCGTTCCTTCAAATTCAGTGTGTAAGTGCAGTTACCAAAGGGCACAATTACCTACAGTCCCCAGCTGCAGAAATGAATAATGAAAGGGTAACCTACGCGGAGCTGAACCAGCAGAAGGATTCAAAGAGGCAGCAAAGGAAACCAAAGTACTCCAAAAGCGCTGTCACAGAAACCACGCCGGAAATAACCTACACAGAGTTTAATCTTCAAAATGTATCTCAGGATCCTCAAGGGAATAAGCAGTACCACTGCAGAGGTAAGGCAGTTAATGGGCACAGGCTGTGTTCTAGGATGTGTGCTCTAGGATGTGTGCAACTGGGGTACACCGCAGTGGGGCAGAATGGGCAATATACTCACATATTTTAATTGTCGAGAGTCAGATTTTGAAGCTGGGATATGGGGCTCTAATATGAAATCCTAGCACTAATTTTATCCAAGTACTGTTATTTATAGCCATGAACTAAGAGCTCACAACTATTATATTTACTGATAATGCAATGAATTCTATACTCATGGAGAATATTAGGACGACAGACATAATTTCCATATCCAAATTTGTTTATGTGACTCCTCATGCATGCAGTTTACCTTGTGTGTTAATCATCTATACAAATTGTCTGTGTTTTTTTTCCCCTCTGCGTTTCTATTTTTCTCCTGCAGGTTTCTTATCTCCGCCGGAGAAGCTGATTGCTGGGATCTTGGGATTCCTCTGTCTTGTTATGGTGGTAATAGTGACCACGGCTATTCCCTGTAAGTAAATTCTGAAAAAAAAATCATAAGGAAACTTTTCACTTTAATATTTGTCTGTGTCTTTAAATACTTTATAACGGAAATTTTAAAAAAGACTCAAATGTAAATATGTAGACAAAATGTGAAATGGCTATTTTGAGTTTGTAAAAAATGTAGGTACAGAATAGTTATAGGAATACTATTGATTAATGCTGGAGCATTAGTAAACCAATTAACATTAGAGATGGTAAAATTTTGTCCTTTTAGGCCTTGAAATATTCTTTCCTCAACAGCTCATTGACCTATTAAGTTTTATTAGATAAATGTTTTTTAATTTCACTTTGTTCTCATCCTTAGAAATTTAAATATCTAGCAAACAAAGTTTTATTTGAATCAATATTAATAACTGTAAGTATTAATTTGATTTTTCTAGCTTCTGAAATGCAGCAGTCAAATAATTCGTCTCTGGAATTAAGTACTCAAAACGGTATGATGATTTTAAAGTTGATGTTATTAGTAAAGTTTGTACTTTATTCTATATCCAGTTTGATATAAATATAAATAGGGTCAGGGAGAAGACTCAAAGAGTTGGAGTTAATGGCCAGAGTCATAGTTCAGCAGATAGGGCATTTGCCTTGCGTGCAACAGACCTGGGTTCAAACCCTGGCATTCCATATGGTCCCCCAACCACTGCCAGGAGTAATTCCTCAGTGCTGAGTCTGGAGTAACCCCAAATAGCAAAACAAAACAAAAGAAAACATTAAAAAGAATTGGAGTTCATATTTTGAATCGGTGAGTCTATATTAGATCATAATGTCCCCGAGCATTCCCAGGAGCAATCCCCAAGCACTCTCAGAGGGTAACCATGAACACTACCAGTAATGGTCGCTCCAAAATTATACAGATTTTTTTTAAATTTGGGAAGCAAATTATGAAATTAAATAATTAAATAATGAACATGCAATAAGTACAGAATAGACTTTCTCGTAGGCAACAATAAGGAGATGCAATCTTTTTAAAACATCATACCTATCCTTGAGAACTGGTTCAAAGGTCATACTACTGAAATTTGGAGAGAGATAAATTTTATAGGTTGAAATGTGGATTAGTTCATTGATTTTCAGGATATATATTTAGTGGATATTTTTTCCCTTTCCATATATTCTTTATATGGACATGTTAATTAGGGAATGAGAAGCTGATCTTTTTTTATGATTATGTATGTAAATGTGCTGTGTTTGGTATGCACCACCCCGTGAATTACATAGACATGTTGTCTAGAGTTGTTTATGCTTAAGTAAAATTTAATTTTCATTTTAAACTGAGCATTTAAATTATATCATGGTCTTTCTCCAGCATGTCATTGTCCACAGGAGTGGCTCATATATTCCAACAGCTGTTACTACATTAGCAATGAAACAAAACCGTGGAATGAGAGTTCAAAGGACTGTATTTCCAAGAAGTCTAAGCTGCTTTATATAGACAGTGAAGAAGAAATGGCAAGTTTTAAATAATTTTAAATATTTTGTTAGGTAATACTCAACTCAGTATCATACTAAAGAATTTAGTAATATTTAGTATTTATTACACTTGAGATTTGTTAATATTATATAACATATTCAGCCATTCTTAAAATATGTTACACCACAAGGTGTAACTAAAAAAATAAACAAAAAAGTAGGCATTTTGCATGTTAGTATCTTGACTCCAAACTTAGCCCCATAGGAATTTAAATATTAAAAGTTCTGATGATTATATAAAAGTATTATAAAAATAATATGTATTTTTCTAACTGCAATAGATTGAGCCTATTATTTTCTGTTTTATTATTAGAATGTAACTGTGTTTTTCATGGTGATTCAATTTAAGAAAATAACAAATAAATAAAATATCAGTAGACACAATATAGAAGAGTTTATATCTGAACTAATGGTTAAGTTTTGGTTTCCATGTGGGGAATATGTGTCTGGGGTTTCTGGATTGTATATTTTGTTACAGACATCTGCACATATGTATTATATGTGAGGTTACTCAGGATAAGTTGGACTTAGCTCATGTAAGCTCTGATTTTCACATAATTCAAGTTACTTAATTTTTCTATCAATTACTTTAATATTATCTATTTTTCATTGTCTTTAAGTATTGTTTAGTGTTTTGATTATGATGTTCTGAAATGTGAATATTTATAAGCTAATTTAAAAGTTTGATAAATCTCTTGAGTCTATATATAGTATATATCTATAGATATGTACTATATATAGATATATAGACGTATGTACTATATATATAGTCATATATCTATATATATAGTAATATATCTATATATATATAGTCTATCACTTAATCACTTAACTTCCCGTTAGTCGTTGATTTGCTCGAGCGGGTGCCAGTAACGTCTCCATTTGTCCCTGTCGCGTGCTAGTGTAGCCCAATGGCATCTGTTCGCATTCATATATAGTCTATATATGAATTAAATAAGTTTGGTTTATCATTGCTTCTAACACTTCTTTTCCTTTCTGTATTTGTTCTTTTCATATTATATTTAACCTAAATTTCTTCCCTTATACTGTAAAAGTTTCTGAGATTTCTCTATTTTTGTCTCTTTCACATTCTAACATGAAAAATCTCTACAATACCATCTTCAGTTTCATCAGTTGTATGTTTTGTATCTCAGATTTTTAGTCAATTCCTCCACCCCTCTCGAAGATCCCAGAAAGCTACGGAGAGTGTCTTGCCTGCACAGCGAAGCCTGGCAAGCTCCCCATGACATATTTGATATGCTAAAAAAAGTAACAACAAATCTCACTATTTGTTGTAGACGTTATTGATTCCTACTTGAGCAAGTCAATGAACAACAGGAGGACAATGCAGTGCAGTTAGTAATTTTTGCTTTAGATAATATGTTTTAACTCATATTTTGACTTAGTTTATTTCTTCTTAGTATGTTGATATTTCCTATCCAATGCTATTATATAATATTCTATTCAAATATAATTATCATCTTATCATATTTATAATGTCTAATATTTTTAAATGATAAATGATATAAATAACTTAATTTCATTACAAAAATTAAAACTAACACAAAACAATATTTTGATTTTTCACAATCCTTTTCCTCATAGAATATATTTGTGGCTTTTAATATCCTGCCTTGGAGTGGACCCTCCAACAAAACCAATGATGGTGTACAGATATCGTCAGGTGGCTCAGTTTTTTCGTCCAAGTCGTAAGCTCCTTAAATATCCTTATATTTCTATGTGTAACTGTGATTAATCTTAGAAAGAAAGATGAATAATCACATAGATGTGATACCAATTTTTACTAAAAATTTTTAAACGAATTATTCGGACTTTGACATATAGCTATTATTCCAAATATACTGTGCATTCATCATATATTAGGAGTGACTTTCCAATATTGACTATATATTATTCTCTATATTTTAGGTTCTCAAGTTCTACAAAAAACTCAGAAAAATGTTTCTATGTAGATTATTCTAGAAAACGAATTACTCCAGCGTCCTGTTCAGAAAGAAGATTGTATGTTTGTAGGCACCAATTTCTTTAGCTTAGTTAAATTTGAGAATTGGCCATTCTTACCATCTATAAAGTTCTCATTTCTTCAAAAGCAATATAATTATATTGTTATTTTATGTTATTATTATACTTCTTAATTTGCATCCAAATTAAGAGTAAGATAGAGAGAATTTTCATTGCCCCTGGGCCCCGACTGGAAATTCTTTCTCATGGACATCACTAAGTGAGATGGTACAGCTTTGACTGAAGATAAGTTTGTATTACTGCATCTTAACAATCTGAAGTCTGTGATTCATCTGAGAATTTACCCTGATGTTGTAGAATTATTTTAAAACACACATTCATAAGGATCACCAAATTATATAATCAGGTACATATTGCACATTCTTTAATATTCTGTTATTTTAATAAATAATGTACGGATTATATAAACCATCACAATGGGCTTTTTATTCATTATTTCTCATAATTACTTCTCAAATTTTGTAATTAGTTGATTGTTCTGACCCTTGGAAGTGTTGCCAAAGAGAATTTAACAAGTAAGTTATGAATTACGTAGCTCAAAGTAGGCTCAATAGACAGAGCAGGAGAGATTTGAAAACACTTCACTGTTTGTTTGCAATTGTCCATTAAATTGGGGATAAGCAAAGATAGAGCATACCTTTAGTTTAATGGGGGAACCCAGAGAAGGGGTTCCTTGGTGATCAGGCTTCCCTGGGATGGATTTCATTGAAGACCGGTGGCTTCAGACATTGTTGGGACCAAGCTGGTGTTGCAGGGCCCTGGGACAGAGCAATTCTAAGGTCACAGGTAGAAGTTGCTGAGGATGGAACTGAGGCTGCAGAGGGTGGCAGGCAGAGGCTCAGTACAGGGAACTGGGCAGCCCGCAGTGACTTGCAGGAAGGTGAATTCCACTGACTTCCTGCCTACTGCCCTTCAGAAGTCAAAGGAGAGAAAATGCCAGGAAGCAGGGTGAGTCCCTTTCCCAGCTGTGTCTCGCCAGTGGCATTTACTGGAAATTTTGGCAAGTAACATTCACAAATAATTTCTCCTTACCCTTAAAGACGGCGAAAAGTTAACAAACCCAGATGTTATGAACCGGTCAAAGTTCCCCAAACTACTTTTTGCATATAATTATATGTATAAATTAATGTTTCAAGTGTTTTGGAGGTGGGATAGGTGTGCAGCACCCAACTATTCTCAAGCCATACTCCTCATTTATGCTCAGTGTTCTTTTCTGACTGTGTTTGATGGACAGTATGTAGTAGTAGGAATCAAAGGATGGCTTTCTTTGCACAAGGCAAGCACCTTCACTATGGCATCATCTCTCCTGCCCCCCAAAATTGTATATTTATCCTGAAAAAGCCATGGGAATTATTTGCCACTGTAAATTCAGGTTAAATCCCACCTCCTCCTCTCTAAAATCAATATTACTGAAAAAGAAGGAAGTATAATATGGAAATGTTAAACTAGGTTGAATTTAGAATAAACAGAATCAGAGGACTGGAGAGATGTTACAGTGGGTTGGGCACTTGCCTTCCATGCATTCCACCAGTGTTAGATCAAAAGCAACACAAATGGTACCCCGAGCTCCACCAAGAGTGATCCTTCAGCAGAGAGTTAGGAGTAAGCCCTGAACACAAATGAGTGTGGCCCCAAAACCATACAAACAAAAATCACAAATAAGTTAGGAACAGAAAGATTACGATGGTACCTTTCCTTGTGAAACTGTGAGGGTGAACTTTAAGTGTTAACATAATGACTTGTTAATCAGGACTTTAGAATTAAATACGCATTTAATTACTAATTTTCAAAGAAGATTGTGCTCTTTTAAAATTACTTTATGTTGAAACGGAACAAAAATGTGCGTTCTGTGCAAACAGTTTGAGAAAATATTCAGAAAAACAATTTTTGTATTTAATTTTTTACCCCGATTTTACTCATCTGAAAATCTAATTCATTGGTGCCAAGTCAGAAAGATGGGGTGGCAATGAGGTGTTTTGGGGAATAGTAAATCCAAGATGTAGATGAAAGAAGTGACCAAAGACCCAAAAACTGATTGAAATGCCTAAATCAGTATCTTTGCTAGCAAATAGAAGTTGGATCTTACTCAAGGAGAGAAGTTTCAGCAGAAACAGAAGGCTGAGACGGAATGTGAAATAAAAGCACCCAATACCATAGACAGACTTTCGTCTGCCTAGAAATCCTCAAGTGGGGAAAACTTGGGAAAAAAACCTATAAAGTCAACTTTTGTGTGACTGTAGAGATAGTAAGGGGCTAAGATGTTTTGCCTTGCATATGGATGACTTGGTTGGATCCCCAACACCCCACAGAGTCTTCCAGGCCAGAAATGACCCCTGAGTACAGTGCCAGGTTACAGACTTACCATTCACTGAAGATAAAATTGCAGTGATTTTGGAGAAACGTGAACACTTCAATTTTCAGTGGATTGAGATTTTTCGCACGGGACTGGGTGGGCTATTGAGAATATAGTTATTTTCGGTAGAAACTTGGTAAACTGATTTGCAATGAATAGAACTGAAATTCTGACTTCTTCTTGAAATCTTTAGCTTGTTTTTAGTGTTTTATGGCAATGTGTTGCTTATCTAAATACAGCAGGAGAGACAATGCTTTGCTTTTGCAACTGATCATTTGAGAACTTGTTATATTTCTAGGTTTTTTTTTTCTGGAATACCAAATACAATAATATTCTAGAATTTAAGACTGAGGAATCATTTATTGCCATGTTTAAATTTCCAGTATGCTAGTGGGGTAAAAAATTAGCCCCTTAAATACTGTAGAGTCACAAAGTTTAAACAAGTTCTGAAATACATACTGTAGGTGGATCCTGAAAGTAGATAAGATTTTCTTGCATAACTTCTCCATTTTGTGAAGTTAGATTTACTTAAGCTTCCTTTGCCCTAGATCGGCCTTAATTCCTAACATCCAGAATGTAATTTCACTAGAGCTGTGGATGGACCTAAAGCAGGTTGCAATGTCAATTTAGTTTCAACAGGGAAAGGCCTAAGTGTTCACAAGTAAGCCAGCTATATTTGGCCAAGAGTGCTCTCATCAGCTGGGCTCTGATGCAACGGTTAAAAAGAAGAAAAGAGGCCCCCCACAAGTGGCTCTCTGGCATGGCCGTGGACCCAGAGACACACGAACCTAATTCGGAACCCAGCAGCTTTTGGCAGAAATGTGAATGGATGATGTATTAAGCTGCGGCACTCTGTCCCCTCCAGGAGGGAAACGGTGTCTTTCTCTCCCGCCTCCCTCCCCCAAACCCAGCTGCACGGTGGCCGCTGCCTCAGAGCTTATTGGACAGCAAGGAATGAGCTGGTGGTAGTTGGGCAACTGTGGCCTCATGGTATGGGGGGGGGCAGAACCGGCACATCCTTCCAGCTCCGCCGAGACCATGAGTTGTCCCCCATGAGCAGCTCTCTGGCACAGCCATGTACTCAGAGGCACACAAACCAATCTCAGAACTTTGTGACTTTTGGCAGAAATCCCTCCGGACTTAATTAGTAAAATATCGGAAATCCAAAATCATATGGTCTTCATATCCTGCAATAGAAAACAAATTATTTCACGATGCCTTTTCAGCAGTTCTGATTGTTGGGGTAAAATTCCAAATAATAATGGTGCATCTTTTGTCGAAATAATGAATGTAATCAAAGTAGAGAGAGAGTTAAGTGGAAACCATCTGCATCACAGGCATGGGGAGGAGTAGGATGGGGGTATACTGGAGTTCTTGGTAGTGGAAAATATGCACTGGTGCTGGGATGGGTGTTTGATCATTGTATGACCTAGACTTAAACCTGAAAGATTTGTAACTGTTCTCACGATGATTCAATAAATAAACTTTTTTTAAAAAAGAAAAGAAAAAAGAAAAAGAAAAAGAAAAGAAAAGAAAAGAAAACAAAGAAAAGAAAAGAAATCTCTAGGGTAAGGATGAGCTGAAACCAACCAGCCTTCAGACAGTACTGTAGCCAATATTATAGATGTTTTCTGGGTGAAGACATCCTGTTCTAATTGGTATATTCCAAACCCAGCAAAGCTATTTAAATACAGTCTGCATTTGCATTTTAAATGAATGTATATGAGTCTTGTGGTGCTTATGCAAAAATTATTGGCCAAGTTAATTAAAAGTAAATAATCTGTGGCCCAGAGTGATAGTATAACAGTTGCCTAGCATGAAACCTATTTGAGTTTGATTCCTGGCACTGCATATGGTTCCCAAAATCTGCCAGGAGTGGAGCCTGAATGCAGAGCTAGGAATAAGCTCTGAATGGCCCCCAAAATATCAAAACAGAAAAAAAAGCAGTCTCTTATTATGGTTATTTATACCAATAGTAAAGGTGGAGGAAAATACGTATTTCAGTTACATGCCTTGCCTTTTTTTGGTGGAAATCAGAGCCTGCTTTTCTTATGTTTTCTTTTTTGTTGTTGAAACTTTTATCCACATACTGAAATGAATCCTAAATGTTACTGTGACTTTCTGAGCTAGAGTTTACAGACTTTTTGTTTGTTTGTTTGCTTCTAATTAACTTGCTATTATGAACAATTCAGTATTCTAAAGACTATGGGAGCTAGTGAAGGGGAACTTGTTACAGACTGCAGGAAAAATGAGTGATTGTGGGTTTTTTTTTTCTGATGCCTGAGAACATCAGACACTCTAAAGCCAAGAAATTCTG